ACTTATCTTGGAACAAAAAAGAAAAAACAAGACCTTAGAGAAGCTAACCCAAACCCCTGACAACACTTCAGCTACTAAGGCCAATACTGGAACTGCCTCTTCGATGCCTTGTTATGGAATAAAAATAAACCTTTACTGCTGAATTTATTTTTAGTTGGATATTTTCTAAATTTGCAGTCGCAAGCATTCTAAATGATGTAACTTCAAATTTTATTTTATTGTGATTGGTAAATGTGGCCTATAAATACCTACTTTTTTGAATTTGACATTTTTCTTTGTGGTTAAATACAGAATTAACTTTTGTATATGTTCCATGAACACTGAAAAAATATGTATTGTATTTTGTTGTTATTTTTGGTGGTTGGCTGGTACGGGGAACTGAACCCTTGATCTTGCTGTTAGAAGGCCATGCTCTGACAAGCTGAGCTAATCAGCCATTCCTGTATTGTACATTTTTAGATACATTTCTAAATGAGTCTATTAAGCCAGTGGATTAAAATGATAAAACTCTCAATGTTCTTACCTAATTTGGTATGCTAGGTCAGAATTTCCTAAAATTGACATTTTGTTTTTTTGTTTGTTTTTTTAACCAAGATCTCTTTGAACTTCCAGAAGTTTTTGCTTTTATGTGTAATTTATGTTGTTAGAAACCCTATGAATGTAAGGAATGTGGAAAGGCCTTCAATTCCGGTTCAAATTTCATACAACACCAGAGAGTTCATACTGGTGAGAAGCCTTATGAATGCAAGGACTGTGCGAAGGCCTTTAGTCGAAGCTCACAATTGATTGAACATCAGCGAATTCATACTGGAGAAAAACCCTATCAGTGTAAGGAATGTGGCAAGTCCTTCAATCGCATCTCACATCTTAAAGTTCATTATAGAATTCATACTGGTGAAAAACCCTATGCATGCAAGGAATGTGGGAAGACCTTTAGTCATCGGTCTCAGTTGATTCAACATCAGACTATTCATACTGGCAAGAAACTCTATGAATGTAAGGAATGCGGGAAGGCCTTTAATCAAGGTTCAACTCTTATTCGACATCAGAGAATTCATACTGGTGAGAAACCCTATGAATGTAAAGTATGTGGAAAGGCCTTTAGAGTGAGCTCACAACTTAAGCAACATCAGAGAATTCACACTGGAGAGAAGCCCTATCAATGCAAGGTATGCAGTAGGGCCTTTAAGCGTGTCTCACATCTTACTGTACATTATAGAATTCATACTGGTGAGAAACCATATGAATGTAAGGAATGTGGGAAGGCTTTTAGTCATTGCTCACAACTGATTCAACATCAGGTAATTCATACTGAGGAAAAGCCCTATGAATATAAGGAATGTGGGAGGAATTTAAGTCATGATTCAACTACTGTTCAGCATCAGAGGATGCATAATAGAGGAACACATGTGAATATAATAAATGTAGAAAAGCCTTCCATCAGCACTTACCCATTATTAATCATCAGAGAATTTATGTTGGCAAGCAACCATATGAATGGAAGTAATGGGGAAAGTCCATTAGCTTAAGCTAATCACAGCTTACCTCCTGCATCTTGAAGAAAGACTTAAGGAATGTAATTCAAGTGAGAATGCCTTCGTTCAGAACTTATCTTTTATCCAATGTCAGAAAATTCATATCAAAGAAAGATTTTATCGATGTAAATTGTTTAGGCCATGCTTGTCAAAGAAGCATGGAAAGGTTGGAAAAACTTTTTTCATAACACATTCCAGAATCACATTTTCTAACCACTGCGTGGTTAAATTTAACAAGAATCAAAAGTTTTAGTTTTCTTGGAGATAACAAAAACACAGCCAAATTACTCTTGGGTTAACAAGGAAATAAATCTTGCAGTTCTATGAATGGTAATGAAAAGAATAAATTGAGAGTTTTACATGCCAAGAGGTGAGATGTAGCCAAAACTGGAGGAATTTTTACAGTCTTTAAATGTATGTGCATGCATTAAACCTGAAAGATTATATTCACATGCATTGAATAAGCTACTCAAGACTAGCAAACACCCAAGCAATGAAAGAACAAATTAAAATAAAAACAGCAAATGATGAAATAGAAAATGATCATTTTATAATAATCTCAGTTTTTATTTCTTCCTGATTCAAGAGTAATCTAAATTTAGTAGAATGCTTCCAAATTTCCACATTGTTAAATTGTTTTATCTTGCATGACTTCTGTCACAAACATTGGTTGCCTATCCAGCAGCCATACCCAGGTCCCCTTATTGGCAGCATCTGTGTCTTGCCTTAGAATCTGAAGATATTGGATGCTAACTTTCCAGCCTCCTTGTGCAGCTCGAGGTAGCTGATTTGTCTCAGTGTTGGCTAGTGGGATCTGCTGGGGCTTCT